AATCATCATCTCCAGGTTAGTATTTTCAATCGACTTGATCAATTTACATATCCAGTTTCAATCCTACGATCTGAGTCTTGCCAAATTATTGCTTAACTGTAATCTATAAGTTTTCTGATTTGTTTTTTTTTTTGCTTTGATTTATCTTATCATCATTTGAAAATGTGAGGTCGACCAAAAGCACGATTGACGGCGTATTTCATTCATTGTGTTTTTAAGTTTATAATTTGCTTTAGTATATAATTATTTGATGAATTTAATGTTGAGTGAGGGCTTCATATTTTGACAAACATAAAATCAAGTTGTATAAATACTGTAAAAGGATTTTGACTGTTATCTGCTATTCATAAACTTTTATTGCAGATGTTTGTATAATAAATTATCAATTTTTTTATTGAATGGATGCTCCGTTCATTATCATTTTTTTATGAATAGATGTTGGTGATTGATTTATTCAGGATATTCTGGATAGTCACATATTTCAATTTGATTTTATACCTGATATTATGAATACTCTTAGTTGTGAAGATCAATACTTTGGGCTAATCAATAATAAATTTCTTTTCACTAATAACTGGATATGCAATTGGTGGTGGAAACATAGTCAAAGAGCTAGCAGACAACACCAACAAGGTAAATAAAAAAACAAGAAAACCAAAACCCAAAAATCAACTCCCAATCCCTCCACCACCACCACCACCACCAACTACCGTCACATGGCCGCCAATAACACAAAGCATTTCATTAGATATAGGATTCCTTCAAACATTGGAGAAGTAGTTTGTATCTTTTTTGCAGTTCTACTTGGGATACCTGATACTCTTGTCCCTGTAAACTTCTTCCAATCATGTAAAATTACATTATTGCCCATCCCTAGTCCTTGCATTTTCTTAAATCTTACTACATGAAGCATCATCATTTGTTCCAGGTGCAACTACTTTGGGTTAATTTGGTTACCGATGGATTACCAGCTACAACTATTGGCTTCAATAAACAAGATCCACATGTTATAAAGGAAGGCTAAACATCGAAAGGTATTTTTTCTTTTACTTATTTTTTATTCAGACCATTTGGCAACTTAATGTTGTCAAGGTCATAGAATCCAGGTGGCAATCTCTCTGCCATATCTTTAAGCTACAATATATAATAACAAATTCAATCATAAATTTTTTTTTTTTCAAATTATTAACTGTAAGAAAATACATGTGATGTAAGAGACTTTATCACATCTTTAGCAGCATTACATTTAGTAGATTCCTCTGCAGCCAATACCATTGCTTCCTGGGATTGTTTTCTTCATTTTTGAAGTTCTGCTTCTTGAATTTCACATTGATGTCTGAGGCTATCAACCTCACCAGATTCATAAAAAGTAAAAAAACAAAACATTGTAATTTTAAAAAACTTTGGGAATCTACCTGCCTACGTAATTTAAGAACTTCTTGATTCAACAAATCATTAGTCCTCTTCAAACTATTCGCCACATTTTTCTAGAAAGAAAGCCCCGATGATGAGGAGGATGCTAAACTAAAATGTTGATGGTGTTATTTGATTTCTACACTAAAATCTGCAACATTTACATATTAATATTACGTATAAAATGTTGATCAACTTATACAGGAATATGATAAAAATTGCAGTTCATTTGTTAATAACATTATATTTTATATATTAGCTAATTAACCACATCTGATTTGTGGTAATTGCTTCTATATTGATCTTTATGAATCACTTGTGATTTACATGTGAATCACTTGTGATTTACATGTGAATCACTTGTGACACATGTGAATCATTTGTGATTTATATGTGAATCACATGTAATTCACATGTAAATCATCTTAATTATTTATTTTTTCTAACCATATAGTTTATTTTAATTGCTTCTATATTGAGCTTCATGAATCACTTGTAATTTACATGTGAATCACTTGTGATTTACATGTGACACATATGAATCATTTGTGATTTACATGTGAATCACATGTAAATCATCTTAATTATTTATTTTTTCTAACCATATAGTCTATTTTAATTTGTTTCATTTTGGCAATATATCATAAGTGAATCACATATGAATTACATGTAATTCACATGTAAATCACATATGAGTTACATGTGATTCATATGTAATTTACATATAAATCAGATGTAATTCATACGTAAATCACAAGTGATTCACATATAAATTACATATGATTCACATGTAATTCACACGTAAATCTCAAGTGATTCACATATGAATTACATGTGATTCACATATAATTCACATATGAATCACATGTAACTTACAAGTAAATCTCATATGAATTACATGTGATTCACATATAAATAACAAGTGAATCACATATGAATTACGTCTATATGCACACATGTATTTTTGTGAGTTTTCTTGCATTAATCAATTTTTTTATATTTTTCTTGTAGATTTGGAAGAATTTGTGGAAAATATTGAAGAGGTGAAAACTGATAAATTAAAGAAAATATGGAAATCTTGACACGAAGACATGAAAACGCTATGAAATTTTGTAGTATTTTTTGCTTTTTTATATTTTATTTTGTATCGAATAAAATACTTGTACTATTGTGTTTATAGATTATTAAATAAAAATGGATTTTTGTTATGATTAATTACGAATATTATAGTATAAGAAATATGCATATATGCACCTAAAACGTTGATTTGTTTTGTTAAAAAAGTTAGAGTTTTTTTTTTAAATATTCTAGTTTTTTTAATTTATTGATTTTTAAAAATTTAGTTTTTAAAAGAATGCAGTTTTATAAAAAAAATTACAGTTTTTTTGATAAAATTGCAGTTTTTTTTAAAAAACCTGCAGTTTTTTGATAAAATTACAGTTTTTTTAAAAAAATTGTAGTTTTTTTTTTTTGAAAAAAATGCAGTTTATTTTTAAAAAAATATTTTTCTTCAATTTTTTTAAAAAATTCATGTTTTCTGAAAAATTAAAAAATCTCCATTTTTTTAAAAAAATCAAAAATTATTTTAAAAAAAAATCCGAAATTTGATATATTATGTTAATTTTTAGAACTTTTTATTAAAAATTAAGCATTAAATGAGATCGGTAAGATGACGATCATGCCCTTAATGAGTTAATTTTTATCTAACGCTCCACCTTTAATTCTCAGGTTCTCGGGAAACTATGAGTTCTCAACGGATCTCAACCCTATATATATATATATATATATATATATATATATATAGGGTTGAGATCCGTTATATATATATATATATATATATTATATATATATATATATATATTATATATATAGACTATAGAGAGAGAGAGATCCCTTCCTTTTTCTTAGTGAAGACTAAAATGTACAAATGGTCCCTGTGGTTTGCTCAAAATTGTCACTTTGGTCCAATATAGTTTGGACTAGCACCACAGGTCCAAAGTTTTCATTTTGTTGCGAGTTCGGTCCAAAGCACTTTAAAAATTCTTCAAATGACGGATTTGCCCTTTCTATTTGTTTTTTCCTTTTTTTTCCTTTACTATTATTTTATTACTTAATTACAAAGGGTCTCTCTCTCTCTCTCTCTCTCTCCTCTCTCTCTCTCTCCAATCCTTTTCTTGCCTTTTGTCTTAAACAATTTCACCGTTTTGTCCTCTTCCTTGAAATGGGTATAAGCAACAAAGGAACTGAGTTCATCAGTTTCATCACCGGAAAAGCATTCGACAAATGGCAAAGGGAGAAGAGGAAGACAATCAAAGATGACCACTTGTTGTGGGAAATGACGACGTTAGGGTAGGGAAAAACATTGATTGACCAACGTTTTTCATGAATCGCTTTCATGTGAGTATCAATTGGTTCTTGAAAATCGATTGGTTTGAATATGGGAGGGAAGTGCTTACGATTCATTGCCAATTCCAAGATTTAGAAGGCTGTAGAGAGCAGCGATTTGAGAATCGAGATCGTCGGAATCAAGCATGGCGACCAACGGCGGGATTGCTTCGAGCAGTGCTAAAGTCGATTTGGCATCATAATCTTCGTTAACCAACCTTCTGTCGCCCCTAATAAAAAAACCCTAGACACACAGGTAGAGTGCCAATTTGTGCAAATTTGGTCTCCGATTTACCAAATTTGAGTCGTAGCAAGTGGTGGTAGCAACAGGTGGAGTGAAAGTGCGATTTACCTGAAGAACCTTCTTCATCTTACCTGCAATTCATCATTCTTCATCTTAACAACAAACCATGAACAAAGAAACCCAGATGCACTCTACCGTATTCTGGTGAGGTTGATATGAAAGTCAATGAATTTATAGCCAAGTTTACAGAGCAGATTAAACTTCAACAAGTGGCCTTGGCTAGAAGACTAAATTTTATCTGAGATGGTTTCAACTCTTCAACATCCAGACTCAGTTGATTCACCAAGAAAAGATTCATGTGAGGCGTAATCCTGCCGACATTGGAGTGGCGAGAAATCAAGATGGGGCGACAACGACGTTGATGTTTTGGTGGTAGGGAAGGGAGGAGATTGGGTTTTCCGGTAGGCTTCGTGACTGGAAAGATGAAGGGAAATGTGTGTTTTCTCTTACGAAAGGGGGTATTTCTCATACGACATCATGAGAGAGAGAGAGAGAGACCCTTTGTAATTAAATAATAAAATAATAGTAAAGGAAAAAAAGAAAACGGAAAAACAAATAGAAAGGGGCAAATCCGTCATTTGAAGAATTTTTAAAGTGTTTTGGACTGAACTCGCAACAAAATGAAAACTTTGTATATGTGGTGCTAGTCCAAACTTTTTTGGACCAAATTGTCAATTTTAAGCAAACCACAGGGACCATTTATGCAGTTTAGTCTTTAGTGAATGTTAATATAATAGAAATTAATTACTATAACAAGACAAACGGACAATAAGATGGGCGCTAAGGTAACCGTGAATAATTTAATCTATAAAATGTTTTATTTTTGTAATAAATTAAATACCAACAAAGTATGAACACAAAGGCAGAAATGAGTATTTTAGTGTTTTAAACTTTTAATAGGGGATCAAGAAAGGTAGAATGAGCAGGGCATGGTAGTTGACAATTCACGAGGCTGCTGCAAGATAAGCTTCTTTTTTTCTTTGTCATAAATCTTCAATAAATGCTCAACAGCCAATTTAGTTCATCCCCGTCGTCTCCACAGACCACAGTTGCCTATTTTAGAAATTTCCATTCCCATCATATCTACCTACCTCTTTCCATCACCCTACAGAACGATTATGGAAACTACTCAGGCAGAACATCGATGGGAGGACCAAGAATATGACGAATTGGAGGAGAGTTTGATTAGTAGAAGAAAGAATCTCAAACAAACGCCAATTTTCACGACCATCAATGATGATTTCAGCAGCAACAATGGTGGTTCAGTTGGTGTCTCGAATGGTGAAGATCAAGAAAAAGAAGAAGATGAAGTCAAAGACTTAAGTCAACAAAATGGCATAAAGGTTGATGAAGATGATATAGAGAAAGAGAAACAACAGACATCGGAGTATCTTGTTTATTATGACGCAGATAAAGGTAAAAATGTGAAGATCTGATAGCACAGTAGTTATTTGAAGTTCTTTTTTTTTAATTCAAGATGCAGAAAATGCACTATACAAATTCACTTTTGACTGTAATCTTATATACCCTTGAAGACCCACATTTTTGTCTCCCATGTTTTTTTCTTTATAACAAGACCCTACCTTTCTCTTTCTTCATATTCGGGTTCTTCAGTGTTAAGGTGATTCTAGGGTTTCTTTTCTCTTAAATCTATCTCTCTTTTCTCTGTGCTTCCATTCCTTGATAAGTTTAATTGATTTCTGGGTATTGGATTATAGTCTGAACATCTTTTTCTATATCCTATTTAGTAGTGACCGGATTAAGTAATATAATTATACAACTTTAATGTTATTTATAACTCTGTAAGTGAAATTTATGTTGTAAAGATTAGGCATTCCATCCAGCCTCTCACCTATCTAGCTTTCAATTCGCAAAAAGCCAAAGGTAACCCATATGTTTAATGGAGATTCTTCTTTTAGATAATTAAGAAATTGCATCTTTCTTTTTTTTTTCCTTTTTCTTTGACTGAAGGAATATGGAAATGTCGAATCTGCTCCTGGGATTATGAGGGTAACACTTGTGTCACCAATCATAATCAGAGAATCTGTTTGTTTCATGAAACCAAAGGTATACACCAATCATAATTCACGACAAAGGTCTGAAAGTTGCCATCTTTACAAACAAAAGTTTCCATAGTAAATTGGGAAGATTCATTAGCAATTTAGCATAGTTCTTGTGTTAATGGACGTGTAAGAAGATTTTAGAATAAGATGGTAAATTAAAAACAAGTCTAATTTGTTGTATATTTTCAGATACTGGGTTGCGTCTTCAATCATCAAAAGGGGAAGCAAATGGTGTTGATTCAACTTTTCATGGGAAAATCCCCATGAAAGACAACATCAATATAACAATACATAATCAAGAAAACGACTTCAATATAAGAATACACAATCAAGAAAACGGGAATGGCCTGGACTTTGTTATCAACAACCAAATTGGTGAACATGAAAAGCAAAATAACTTATCGGATAACTGCCTTCATCCATCAGAAATATCATTTGAAGAAGTTGACAAAACAGAAAGCAGCGAAATTGAAGTGATTAAAGATGTTGAGGATGAATTTGATGTGGAGACAGTGATAAAGAAGCAAGAAACACATGATTTATTCTGTCCAAATTGCAATTCTTGTATCACGAAAAGAGTTATTCTTCGTAAAAGGAAACGTAAAATCCCGGTTCCTGGTGAAATTGCAAAGCGTAACAAGCCCGAAACTTCAAATCCTTCAGAAGTGAATCTTGTTTCTGATGATATTCAACCGTTAATATCTAATGAAGATGATCATGAGAGGGATCCAGATGTATTCAGATGTTTGTCGTGTTTCAGCATTTTTATGCCTTCAGGTTTGAATCTTAATCTATCTTGAAGAAATAATCGTTAAAAATGGTGTTTATTTTCATGATTTCATAATGTTTGTTTGATGTTGTAGGGAATGGATTTAAGTTGTTTGGTAATAAAAGCAACCAAGAAAACAATCAAACTTCTCATAATGAAGTGGCTGTGAAGGAAAGCTGGTTTTCTAGAATTTTTGCATCAAATAAGGTGGAGCAATTAAACAACCAAGGTAAATTACACTCAAATGACATGCAAATTTTTTGTTCTACCCAAAAAATAAAAAGATGGATTTTGATTAATGTTAATCTCAAAAAGGTGGGGTCTCTGTTCCATCTTCTAACCTTGAGTGAGCTCTCACTATTGTAGGTTCATCAACTACCACAATTATTAAAATGGATTTGGAAAATGGTCAAGTTCAATCAGCTACTGTTACTGTTAATCAGCAACAACAATACTCGAATCCCATAGATTCAGACATTCCTACTCCAAGTAGTGTTGTTAATGGAGATGAGAATGCACTTCCTTCACCACAAGGATTTGATACTATTAAACAACCGATTGCTCATGAATCAGATAATAATGTAAAAGAGAGCAACGGTAAGCAAATTTGTTCGTTCATTTCTTGCTTTGAAGATTTGTGACAATACTTTAAGCATTATATTGTTTGAAATTCATATTACTCGAATCTTAATATGATTATAAACTTGGTAGTCGATCCTTAAACATTGATTTTTGTAAACTCCCACATCCCATCCACCTCTATATCTGTTATGAGAGAAAATCAAAGACTCCACATTTAAGGTGGAACAATTAAACAACAAAGGTAACTACACTGACATGACAAGTAGTTGTACTACTGTGGTGTTGTGTTTAGCGTGCATTAGACTGACGATTGATGCTAATGGAACAAAAAATTTGTTTCCTACCAAAAAATGCCTAACATGAATGAGCTGAATTTTGGTAGGATCACATACCACCAATGGTAACATGGATTTGGAAAAAGATCAAATCGAATCAGCTACTCCAAGTGTTAATAGAGATTACAGTGCATCTTCAGCACAAGGATCTAATACATTTAAACAACCGATTGCTGATGAATCAGATAATGATGTAAAAGAGAGCAACGGTAAGCAAATTTGTTCATATATATAGAAAATTTACAAAAAAGTGTATATACTTTCCCTGCAATTTCTTTCAAAATTTCCCTACAACAGATTCCCAATTAGCAGACAACACAGATGGCGATCAGCTAGTTACATCTTACCATACAGAGTTCAACAGCCAAAGTGATTACCCAGGAATGTTTGTAGTGAAGCCACCACTTAATCATGTAGAACCTGAACAAGATTTTGTTTTTTCACATCATCCTGATGGATTAACGCTTCATGTTCCTCCAAACATCGGATCTTTAATCATCGACAATTCACAAATGAACCAACTGCTTGATGTCACCATTCAAAACAACAATCCAGGTAATTATTAATCAATCAATCGTCTTAAAAAAAAATGATATATGAATATGATGATTTTTTGTCTCAAATTGTCTTTGTTTTAGATCTTGAAATTGGGAGTCGTGCTGTGGAGCAAAGTGGTGAAACAGGTGGTCGGAGTTTGGACATTGTTAAAAGCATTGTGTACGGTGGGCTTTTAGAAATAATCGCTAGTCTAAGTGTTGTGGCTTCTGCAGTTGGTGCTGATGCTTCCACGTGTAAGCAAACCAAACCAAATAAGCCTTTCCTGCTTGGAATTATTAATTACCTTGGCTTATAGTATTATTTATTGATTTCGAATGGTTGCAGTGAATGTGTTGGCATTGGGATTGGCTAACATATTTGGCGGATTGTTGGTGATTAGTCATGATGTAAGTAATAAGTTGCATATTAGTGTGTATTTTGCTGTGATGCTGTTTGTTTACAAATTACAATTACAGCTTTGGGACCTGAAAAACGAAGGCAGAGGATCTTCTTCTTCAGAAGAGGATCGATACCAGCAACTTTTGGGGCGAAGAGTGGATTTCCCGCTTCACATGTTGGTGTCTCTGTTATCGTACCTGCTGTTTGGGTTCCTTCCACCGGTTGTATATGGGTTTTCATTCCGTGAGAGCAACGACAAAGATTTCAAGCTTCTCACGGTGGCTGCCGCCTCGATTGTGTGCATCATGATACTGGCTGCCGGAAAAGCGTATGTGCAGAGCCAGAGCCTCAACAGGTCTTATATCAAGACTATTTTCTACTACATGGCATTTGGGTTTGCGGTGTCGGGTGTTTCTTATATGTTCGGTGGGTTGATTATGGAGTTATTGGATACGATCGGTTTATTCCCACCGGCTTCGGGTCAAGTTGTGAACCCGAGTTTTCCTTTTCATGGAGCAGGTGCAGACCCGACCCTAATTGCAACGTATTAGTCAATATTTTGGAAGGGAGGGGGAGGGATTTTTATGATTTTGTAGTTTTGACTTTGAGTTATAGCTTGGAACTAGGTGAACTTTGTGATCTTTATTTATGCTGAGGTTTGAGGTTTTGCATTGCACATCATTTAAATGTATGTTTTCCTGGAAGTTGGTATATTTTTGTTTGGCAAAAATGTAAGTTTTTAAAAGTAATGAACTCATAAAATGACATCTTAATAAAAAATATGCTGCCTAATAACTTTGTTATAATCGGAGCTTTTTCTTTATAGTAACTTTTAGATTAGGAAGTTTGTGTGAAAATAAACAGTTTTAAGATGGTATTCTCAAACAAAAGAAAGTTTTTTTTCTTTAATTTCAGGTTTTCTTAAAAGCTAAAAACTCTAAAAAAAGGTGTTGTCAAACATGCCCTTCATGTTACCATTTATGTCTTAACTAATAAGTTTAAAAGGCCGTTTGATAGTTGCTGACTGAGTTAGAATTTCTGACCGAGTCCACGTCTGACTTAAACCATGTTGTTTGATTATATCTCTGACTGACCGTGATTAATGATGAAAAATGAAAATATTACCCCTTGATGCGAAACTTTATATAGCGCCAAAAATAACAATGGATTTTATTCTTGATTCAGAAAAAGCAATGAACTTTGATCGGAGTTGGTGATACAACAAACAAATGAATCAATTTGGTGATTACCCTTAACTACTTACAACAAACACATGAATCAATTCAATGATTTCCATTAGCTATTTACAACAAACAAATGAATCAATTTGGTGATACAACAAACAAAAACCAAGTTGCAAATTTAGACAACTAACTTTTATTCTATTTCAATCAGGAGTTATCATCATGTTTTAAAATTAAAAAAAAAAAAAAAAAAAAAACAAAACAAAACAAAACTATCTAAAAGTATGGAACAAAATTTGTGTTGGTCAAACTCTATCATATGTTAACAAGACCAAAAGTTCCAACTGCAACTATGAAACTTGTAATTCTTAGTAATCATGTACATATAATCAATGTAATCAATATACATATATAAATGATTACACAAGCAGAGTGGAGTTCTTTGTTGTGCCCTGCATCGTTTTCCATCTCTTCACTTCCCTTTTGTCTCTTTCTTTCTCTATGTTCTTCGGTTTGGACTCCCTCTCTCTTTAACCATAAACAAGTGCATGTCTGACGAGGGATGTTATTTCTTCATTTGTAGCTTTGTTTTTCTCTTCCCTGCTAATCATGACTTCAAGATTCACTCATGCAAGTGATCGAACACTTGGTGAGCAGATGAAAATCCAAGGTAAATTTAAGGCTATTCTTGATTGATTCCTTGCCTTCAAACCGATAAAAGGAACCTATATTTTTTAAAGCTTGAACTCAAACATATAAAACCCAAAAAGAAACTTTAAGCAATATAACGAACCCAAAATTTTAAAGCTTCAAATTGAACCAATGGAACCAATCAAATTTTACAACTATAATCGAACTCAAAGAAGAAAAATATGAGAAATCAAGATTCTTACCCGTTAATCGAAATCAAAGAATCCATCGGGGATATCTGTAATCGAAATCAAAGAAGTTGTCGAGTTGTGCCTGTAGACGAAGTGGATGTGGGAAACGATTTGGAGAAATCGATTTGAGGTCTGAAATTCGTCGGACTTGCTTGCTGCGGTGGAGATGGTGGGGTATTAACAGAAATAAGATGCATGCTCCCATAGATTCGTCGGACTTGCTTGCTCCACTGTTGCTTTTGATCGCTAATGGAAAGTCTTGTTGCTTCGCCGATGGGAGGTTAACGGGGGAAGGGATGAAATCAGAACCTGTCGCAACAATATGTAGGGGGAACGAGTTGTTTTTGGTTTTTTTTTTCTCGGTCCGTCAAGTAGAAAGTAAGGACCGAGTCTTGTGTTTTTATCGGACCGAGTCCACACATCTATAATCCCTATCAAACATGTCAATTGGTATTTTATGGACTCAGTCCCTCTTTAGACCCATGTAGATACCATATCAAACGACACCTGATTCAGGTTTACATTGAAGTAGAAGCAACCCATGCTACCAAAAAATTTTGAATTTCAAATACTTAATAGTTGATATGCCTTGTTCTTTTGCACTTGTTGTTATGCAAGATAGGATATGACAAACTATTTACAGTATTTGGAATGTATTTTACTAGAACTTGAATAATTCAATGGTGACACACTTTCGATTTGGTTTGTGTTTGTGTAAAATACGTGAATGCCCTTCCATCGTCACCATAAAAAACAAAATAGCCCTAGAAAGCTTTCCCAGTATAACAACACAAAACCATAAGTGGAATTCGATTAAACCAAAACAGGAATAGGAAGTTAAGGTCACTACAAATGTAACGCCCCGATTCTCGAATACCAATATATGGTTATGAATTCTCAAGAATTCCAGGTCTACTCGACGAGTTGGTTGCCTGACTCGTCGAGTAGCAGCGGGTTTGGACCACGTGTTAAGTGACCAACTCGCCGAGTCGGAAGAGTGACTCGACGAGTTGGAGCTGGAAGGTAAAACCCTAATTTTCGGGGTTTGGCACCCTATTTAAAGAATCATAAGCCACCTTCAGCCTCTTTACAGTCCCTTGAGAGCTTAGCAAACCCTAATACGTGTTTTAAGCTTTGAAAGAGGATTCTTGGTGAGAAGAGCTTGGGGGAAACATGAGGATTGAAGCAAGGAATTCGTGGGGATCAATATCTACTTCAGTTGGCATCTTTTGGGAAGGTATTAAGTTGTTATCCCAACTCCATTTCATTCTAGATCTCTTTGGATGAAATTAGGGCTTTTTGGTTTGGTTATGAAGCTATTTTTGGGGGTATGAGCTCAGATCTGAAGTTGTAACTTCAGATCTGAACTCTCTTTGATTTGTAAGTCCATAAAGCTATCAGCTTTGGCAAGTATGAACTCCTCCTTGAGTGTAAAACCCCATTTCAAGCTTGGATTTGGCATTATGAGTCGTTAGAGCCTTGCATGCACGTAAAGTTTGCAACTTTACGTGATAAGCATGCCTTGGGAAGTTGGATTTGCAGTATGGAGTCTTAGCATGGCTTAAAAAAAAGCATCTGTATGGATGAAGGACTGAAGGGACTCGGCGAGTCGCATGGTAGACTCGGCGAGTCATATGAAAATGGTCATGAACTCGACGGGTTGGATGAATAACTCGGCGAGTCCGATGAAGATTGTCTTGGACTCGGCGAGTGGCATGGTGACTCGGCGAGTTGGCAAGTTATGCAAGGAACTCGGCGAGTTGAGGTCAACATGGACTGTTGACCTTGATAGTTGACTTTGACTTTGACCAAGGGTTGACCGTTTTGACTTTTGAGGATAATTGGTAAGCATGTATTTATGAGTGGATCATTGATGGTTACAGATGTTGGAGTTTGGTGCAGTGTGTCGGGAGCGTGTTTTCGTGGTTCAGTCCGGCATTGCAAGGTAAGTTATCCTCACCATATCAACAGAGTCTAAGGCACCAATGTCGGCCCTTTATGGTTTGTATTTGGATTATTGCATGATATGCTTACTGATTTACATCCTGGTAGTGAGGAGGGTGATATGCTATGTTAGTAACCGGTTAGGTCGATATCCTGGTTATAGGATTGTTGATATGTTTATTGATCTGTTAGATCGGCGTCCTGGTAATTAGGACGGTATTATGTTTAGTGACCTGGTTAGGGTCGGTATCCTGGTATATAGGATGATGCTATGTTAGTGACCGGTTAGGTCGATATCCTGGTTAGGATGTTGCTATACTATATGATCTGCTAGATTGGTTGTCTGTCTATGGACTGTTATGTGATTACCTGTTATATGTGCACATGGTTATTTGCTTGATGTTTGGGTTGAGGCGGTCCTGCTTTGTGCTGAAGGCCAACATACCCTACGAGCGGTCCGAATAGACTGTAGGCCCGTATGGCGGCCCAGTCATACCGAAGGCTCGGAATAGATCCAGATGGACTGTAGGCCCGGTGCGGGCGGTCCAGTCATACTGTAGACTCAGATGCATGGCTGTTCTGTATTTGTTGATATGATATGATTATGGTTATATGAGGTTGGTATTTTGGGGGTAATTCACTAAGCTATCGGGCTTACAGTTTCAGCTTATTGTTTCAGGTTCAGCGGATGGCCGCGGGTAGGCGAAGGCGTGACCGTACACTTCCTCGATTTACGATTATGATTTCTGGGAACTCTGATGTATAAACTATTTTGAAAACAAATTGTAATAGTTGAATGGTTTCAAATGAATCCAAAAGTTTTAAATTGGCTCGAAATTTGGGGATGTTACAACAAAACTTGATAAAATTGAAGTTTCAAGTGAAATTATTGAATAAAGATTTGACCCATGAAAAGTCAAGTCAAAATCAGTATCTTTTTGAGACTTTAAGATGAATTATGGCGATGTTGAGGTAGCTAAAGCTAGCTAGCTGAATTTCCTGCCTGTCAACTCCTCTGCCTCATATAATATGTGATTTATAAGTCCTCTTGCTGCACTGCAAAATGCAAATACACAAAAATCAAAAAAGTTTCTTCTAAAACTGTTTCTGTAAAAACTGACATAATTAATACAAGTCAAGTCTAACACCAGAACAATCAAATATAAAACTATTCATAGTTTATACATTGTAATTTTAGTCTAGACCATCCAAGAAAAAGAACTCATTGTGTTTTCAAGTTGGAAAGAAAGTGAAGGAAAACTGACAATTTTACAATTCTGCCCTTGTGTAAATATTTGCTAATCGTATGGAGAGCATAACTAGGGTGAAATAGCGAATAAATTGTGTCATTATAAAACCTTCGTGTTGTAACTATTAATGAATTTAACACACACCTCTCTGTACATATATTATCTTTGTATTTTAAGTTAATATGAGAATATTACATAAAAATAAAATTAGTGTGTTATCAGTTTGAATATGTTAAAAAATTTCAGCCATCATGTTTGATCTTTTTGTCTGTTAAATGAATAGTCCTTTTTTATTTGACATTACCTCTAGAACAAAGGGTAAAATGGTGATTTAGATTCATTCAGTCCAAAAAAGAAATGGTCTTTATTCATACAACACTGCTTTTCATACAGACAACATTTATCCATACAGCACTTGATTGGAAATTTAAGAAACAGGCCCTCAATCTGTAACTTACTGGAAAACTTTAATACTAAGTATATATTTTTTTTAAATACTGGGTTGCTTGTGGAAAGTATATAAGCCCCAAACACCAAAAAAAAGAAGCAATTCATAAGGATTGATGAGTTCTCAACCTAAATACTCTATAATCGAACATGTGCATAAAGATATGTCCAAAAAAAACTTACTCGTCTTTGAGCTTTTGAATCCTCTCTGGGTCTGTTTCATGCATGTGTTTTCTGAATTGCTGCCTCACCATTTGAACAACAAGCTCCGTGTTATGTTGCTACAGTTTCAAGGGAATGGAGTACATGATCAAACTTCAACACACATGAAAAAAAAAATGCTTGAAAACCTATCACACACATACCTTATGACCAACGTACTTTGCTCTACGTAGACATTCACGATACAGCTGTAAAACAGAAAAAGAAATAAATAAATACTATCAGAATCTATGATATAACAGTGTCAGTGTGTGTGTGTGTGTGTGAGAGAGAGAGAGAGAGTAACCCTAATGGCATTGTTGGCAAGTTCAGGAGGTAGTGCTGTTTGAAGAGAAGGCATTTTGTTATAAAATCTCTTCCAATTAGAGCTGTTGATTTCAACATAATCAAAGTATACAGTAGAAGTTAATCACATTATTAAGAAAAGGAATATGAAGAATGGTATACTTATACACACTCGATCTGAAACTGAAAACTCAATACTTAACATTCTACCCGATTAACAAACCCTCCCGATTAGAAATAAAGAAACAATTGTAAACAACAAAATAACTGATTATAAGCAATTAACAAATAACAATAGATTTCAAAATATAGAGGAGATTGCAAAAATACCTAAAATTTTGAAATCCCTTTACCAGGCAAAGGTCAGAGAGGGAGAGGTCAGAGCTGGGGGAGTGAGGGCTGTTTGGCAGGAGATCTGAATCAGTTAGAGGATCTAAATGAAAACATATTGTTTGGTTAGACGTCTAGATGGTTGTGCTGAATGATAAAAATGACCATTTTACCCTTATGAACTATTTTCTGTTGTATAAAATAGTTAAATCAACTGGCTGAATAATTATAAAAAATACAGTATAAAACATCATACAAAATTACACAAATTACCATCCGACATAATCCTTTCAATAATCTTTTCATCTTTTGACCAAAAATCACATAAATAATAACACTGTACTTTGAAAATAACCCATGATAGCTCATAAAACAATTTCTATTGCAAAATTACACAAATTACCATCCAACAATTCGTATGACAATTCTCATATCATTGATAAGATCATATAACACTAATGAAAAAGTAATTGAACTACATTTTCCAGCTATTAGGCTAGCCAATAAAAAGGAATGAAGACAAATAGATGTGCAAGGGCAAAGAGGTCCAACTTCAATATCAATACCAATGCTAATTGTGTACATAGAATCAAAACTAAAATCAACACCAGTACTACTTGCATTAGTTTAGTCAAGTACAACATTGAGCAAAAAGCCTTCAATTATCACCATCAGTTTTCAGCATAAACAAAACCAGAAAAAAACAATTTCAAATGGATAAAATCGATTTTCAGCAGAACATGAAAAAATCGATTGCACTCAAACATATTCAAATCAAAACTCGATTTCAGCATAAACAACCTGTCAAATCAAAAGCACTCAGCATAAACAACACCATAAAAGTCAATTTCAGCATACTCGATTACAGCAGAAAGAATCGAATCATAAGCACTTAACATACCGTTCGATGGAGAGGAAGGAGGCGGCGACGACGGTGGAGGAGAGAGGTGGAATTTTAGAGCACCGTAGGAGGTGTGGTCTGAACGTATGAAGGGGGTGTTTGGGATATCTTTTTACCTTCAAAAGTCCTTTTTGCAAAAGGACTTTTTGTAAAAGGACTTTTTACAAAAGATGTTTTTAAAAATGTGTTTGGATTAGCTTTTGAGAAGCAAAAGTCAAAAGTTGTTTTTAAAAGGTGGTTGGTTTAACTTTTACATGTAAAATGACTAAAAAGGACATATCAACATTTAAACAACAACAGTGGTGAGGTTTTCGTCCATTATCTGTGAATTTCATATCAACATTTAAACAACAAACCAATTTCATTAACCTTCCTAAATGATTTTATCAATTTAAACAATTGCTAATCAATCTTTTATCCGATTCATGAGCTATAGTTTAATTAAAACAGAAAAATTAGAACAACAATAGAAGAAAACAACACAAACCAGAATAAAGAAATTGGAATAATTTTCACAAATGGTTACCTGTTAACAACACAAATTGGCCCCTGGGAACAAAAAATTTCATCACTTTAATCAATATCATCCCATGAATTTCACTAATAATTATTCAATAAATCATCAATTTCACAATTGGATTAACTGTTAACAGGGACCGATCCATGCAAGGAACAAATTGAAGGAACAAATCACATATAATGCTAGGAAAATCGAAATCAAAGGAACAAATCCACATACAGTGCAAGGAAAAACGAAGGTTCACAGTTTCTTTGCTAATGAAAATCGAAAATCAAGACAAAAACAAAACCAAAATCGGAGTTTGCACTTACCTGGTCGGAGAGGGAGAAAGGAGACGCCGGCAGAGAAGATCGTCGGCTTGGTGGAGGATCGTCGACAGCTTTGGAGGGATCGGCGGCGACTGGGAGGTCGATGATGAACGAAAGCGAGAAGAACGAGGTGGAGCGGACAAGAACGAGAAGAAAAGAAAAGAACGAGAAGAGAAGAACGTATTGATTAGGGTTGGGGTAGTTGGGGGAATACTAGTCATTTAAGGGGTGTTAGGCTTAGCTTTTTAGAAAAAGATCATAGGCAAAAGATGTTTGGCAAAAGACTTCTAAAAGCTACTTTTGAATTTTGCAAAGAAGGAAAATCAACTTTTTGGAAAAGTCAGAAAAACCTGACTTTTTGTAACTTTTCCAAAAAGATCTTTTGTCATCTGCAAAGCTATGCCAAACACCCCCTAAGTGTGAAGGCTTCAAAAGTTCCAAAAATCACAGATACGTGACTTTTCCAAATGCTCCTAATCCTTCTTTATGAAAAGTTAGTTTTAAAAGATCTTTTACATTTACAAACATCTTTTACCCCATTTTAACTTTTTGGAAAAGATAAAGTCTAAAAGTTGGTTCAACAAGATAAAACAAACACCCCCGAAGTGAAAAGGGGGCGCCGATGTTTAGGGTAAATGGGCAAAACGGGAAGTTTCATTCACACCCCCAATTCGCTAAGGTTCGGATGATGGCTCGTACAGATGTGAAAAAGCTCGAACCAATCGGTGTGAGATCTGAATCTTTTCGAGTCAGACATTTGCCTTTTAAATTTTAATTATCCTACCATATAAAAACAGATTTTCTTAGAGGTTTTATATCATTAGACAATTAGTTTTTTATTTATTTTGAGAAAATAACAATTATTGTTGTGAAAATATCCCACTAAACTATTGAGAATAATTAATCCGCCAAAAAACAAAATCAATAAATTTTTATGGGTTTAATTTATTCGTTGTGAAATAATAATTATGATACATTCATCGTCTCCTCATAATAAAGCTTTATAATAGTTCTTGGGTTATCTTTTTCCTCAAAAGTATTAATGTTTTGTTCGTTTCTATAGTATCGTTCAACCATGCACAAATGAGTAATACTTTTTGTTCGCTAAAGATTTGCATGGTCATTTGTTTCTATATATTTGAATATGGAGGTTTATATCTTTGTGTAATTGTCTAATTTTTACAATGTGACTTTTTGGGTCCGAATTGTTGATCATTCGTTATGTTCTCGATTCGATTGTGTTTTCATGCAACAACACATAAGTATGTCATTTCCAAGTCAATACGGATTGTTGATGTTCCGCCTACCCTTCTTGCAATACTCTATTCGTTTAAGAATAAGGCTAACCTACTAGAAGAAAAACATATTTCCTACATAGTGATCTCCGAATGAAAATGAACAGAATCACTCCAAAAAAATCTTAATATTGCAAAGAATGTCCACTAAGCATTATTAAGGATTAATGCATTGCAAAAGAAGACCAAAAGAAAATGATAAAAAAAAATATATATCATTCTAATGTAGGCATGACTTTTATGACTTTTATACGATGACATCATATTTAGAATATATAGAAATTTACTATATTTTAAGAATAAATATGTTACTTTATAATAAGTACATTGTTGGTATATTATTTACTAATTAATCATTATCTTACATTAATTGGTAAACGATTGCTAGATAACGAACTATTATATTACATCACATAATAAAGCTTGATAATGGTTGATAATGGTTGTTGGGCTATCTTTGTCCTCGTAAGTATTAACGTTTTGTTCATTTCTATAGTGTCGTTCAACCATGCACAGATAAGTAAAAATTTTTGTTCGCTAAAGATGTAACACTCGGTTATTTCGGCTAAATTTTCATCCTTATTTAAAAGCTTAAGTGTTTGGGGAGTTTGGTCATACGTGGGGCGCAAGGTAGTGTCCTATGTAGCGCGTAGGAGGGAATCATATTACGAGGATTAAATGATCTATGCGGGGCGTAGATCAAGTTACGTAACACGTAGCTGCCCATGACCAAAACCCTAATCTTGGGCTTTTAAGTCATATTTAAAGGATCTAACTCCCTTGAGGCCCTTCCATCCTCCCAAACGACCCCTTTGAAACCCTAATCCCATTTTTGAGAGTTTTGAGCCTTGAGTGTGTTTTTGTTCACTTGTGAATAAGAAGAAGATTACGGAACCACTTAGGAGCTCAAATCAGCTTAGATCCAGAAGTTTCATCCCATCAACCATCTCTAGAAGGTGTAAAGTTCCCATATTGATGTGTTTTTATGTTAGATCTAGTTATGCTCAGGATTTCATGATCTTGTCCCCATATTCATGGTGTATATGAGTAAGAGCTACTCCAGATCATTCGAGTGTCATTTCCAGACGTTATTAGGGTTGTTAAGTCATAAAAATGAGAGCTCGGCCACTCTCATCCTCCCATGCATGAGCTTTTGAGCAATTGAAGGCTTCTTAGACCTAGGGTTTGGATTAATGCTCTTTGTATGCAAGCAAATGGATAAAGTCAGAGACTTTATCCATTAAGACGTTCATCTAGTTTAGATCTGGAAGTTTGATGGTTTAACTTTATGTATTAAGCACTTAATGAGAAAGGTGATCAACAACGTGCTACGTATGGCGTAGTTTTGGCTACGCAAGGCGTAGCCTTGTCATGTCCCGTAAAAGCCACCTTGTGCTCTACGCATGGCATGGAGCATTATGTACGTATGTCGTAACCTGGCTGAAGTTGACCATTGACTTTTTGATCGTTGGTCGTTGACTTTGACAAAGTTTGACTTTATGTCAATGGAGCATTTTGAGTTGTAAATTGATATTTGGTCCTTGTTTGTTGTATATGTGACTTGTGAAACCGATATTTGGGTCTGTGATCAATTCAGCTATCTTCTAGACTTCGAGGTAAGTTTTCCTCACTGTATTCGTGGTTCGAAGGCATCAAAGTTGGCCCACAAGATTGTATCATGTATCATTGTGCATAGGATATTGATATGCTATAGTGATCTTTTAGATTTGTAGATCTGTATGATTACGTGTACTTATTGTTTATCTGTTGCATATGTCGATATAGTGTGGTTGGGTTGAGGTGGCACTGCTTTGTGTTGTAGGCCAAAAAACCTGGGGCAATCCAATCGAGAGACTGTGGGCCAGGGCAATCCAGTCGAGAGACTGTGGGCCAGGGGTAATCCAATCAGGATACTGTAGGGCCAAGGGAAATCCAATTCTATATTCACTACAAGAAAAATGGCCATCTGTGACTAAAAATTTATAGACTGATTAATCAGTCTCAGATACCGTGTATTTAGGACCGATTAATCAGCCCTTGATACTATTTGGGACTGATTTCAATGTATGAATCATTAGAGACTGAACAAACCTATTAGAGACTAAAATTCAGTCTCTTATATATTTGCACCGAATTACATTTGGAGGATATCTTATTAGGGACCAAATTTCAGTCTTTGATATACATATTCAGTTTTTACTTTGGAGAGAAACCTCTTAGGGACTGAATTTTAGTCCTTGATAGACTTGCGGTGGTTTTCATTTTTAAAGAAACTTTATTAGAGAATGAGTTTCAGTTTCTGATAGATTTGCACCAATTATGATTTTAGAAGGATACTTATTAGAGACTAAATTCCAGTCTCTAATAGATATGTATTACTTTACATTGAGTAAATTACACGAATGGTCCCTATGGTTTAGGGTAATTTACAAGTTTGGTCCCTAACTTATTTTTTAACTCGAAAGGTCCCTACAGTTTGTTTTTGTTGCGCGCTTGGTCTCTGTCTTACCTAAAAAGACTATTTTGCCATTGATTTTTTAATTTATTTAAACAAGGTGGGGTAGGTAAGGTAAGGTGAGGTGAGGTAGAAGTGGGGTTTGGGGTGTGTTTATTTAAATAAATTAAAAAATTAAGAGCAAAATAGTCTTTTTAGGTAAGACAGGGACCAAGCACGCAACAAAAACAAACAATAAGGACCTTCCAAGTTAAAAAAATAAGTTAGGGACCAAACGTGTAAATTACCCCAAACCATAGGGACCATTCGTATAATTTACTTATTTATATTTAAATTCGTGCACTAAAATTTTCGTATTTGAGCCTAATTAACAAGTCATGAATACCATGTATCAATTTTTGGTGAAATAATCACAAATGCTAGTTAGAAGGATATTTATTGGGGACTGAATTTCAATCTATGATCGTTAGAGTGGTGAATATTTCCCGGATAATATTTGGAAAGACACTTATCATCCTAAATTTTAAAATTTTTCATTACATATAATTATTTTATTATGTTTAAATAATTTGAAAGCTATCTTTATTCCATTTATTACACATTTTCAAGAGACTTTTATTTTTAGTTATTATAACGTTTCCCCCCAAAACTTTCATTTCAAGAGACTTTTATTTTTTTAATTCCCTCCTATTCTCCCACTCCCCTCTCACAGATTTATCTAGCTGTCTAGGGTTAATTAGTTATGTTTTCACAACACCTGCAGACGGTAGTCATGCTTAAGAGTGTAAGGTATGGGTCTCGTTGAGACTCGTTGTGGTTGAGGTGGACGCCCAAAACGGCGTTGCATCTCGTTGCACACCGCCCCCCTTCTTGTTGTGTTGCATCTTGTGGGCGTTACAACGTATCAAAACGGGAATAAGAACCAATAAAAATCATTTCTCTTCCTCTTTCTCTCTTTCTCTCTCTACCTTTTTCTACGTCTTAACAAGTTCTAACATTAACATTGAAACACCATTTCCTACATGGTGTTATGGTGGTGTTAAGGCTGATGTGGCATATAAGAACGCGTTATAATACCGACCCATACCCAATGCTCTAATCAAACAACCCTATAAGCCCTAACGACTACAAATCCTCTGCTCATCGCTGCCGCACCCTCGATCCACGTCACTGTCGTAGATCCTCGCTCTCCATGTTGCAGTTGCCCTCAATGACCTTTGCTCTATGTCGCCGCCACCACTTCTTTGATCTAGGTCGACACATCTATTCACAACCGTCTCTGCCCACAACCGTCTCTTCTTCTCGTCACAGAGCAGTCGTCCCTCACATTACCAGTTAACCAAAGATATCGACTAGAGCTTAGAAGTAGGTGGAGTTCCAGTCGACGGTCATCTCTAGCTGTTGTATCTTACGCTTAATCGCAGGTCATCTCTTACAGTCGGTTATCTCTGTTCAATCGTTCACCATCCCTGCTAAATTGACTCAGCAACTACAAGTCTAAAACCGAGAACTCTACAAGTCTTTATCAGGTCAGCTTCATAATCTCGATTTTTGTAAATATGTGAAGTTTAATTCTGAAAATCATAATTTTTGTAAATATGTGAAGTTAATTGTTGTAAATATGTGCAAGGCAATCCTGAGGATATCGCAAAAGAGAAAGCTCGTTTGGCCGCTAACCAGGTATACAATCGTAATCTGTAATCTCCATTGATGTTCTTCGAGAGTTACATCTTGTTGATTCGGGATGTGTGTATGTGAGTAGGTGAAAGGACCGGTGCTAGTTGAAGACATTTTCCTCTATTTCAATGCTCTGAAAGGCCTCTCTGGTTAGTATAAGATTATGGATCAAGATGAGAATTGCAGTTAACATGAAGTCATTATCTTCAAACCTTCTTTAAGAACACTTGAGATTGTCTAAATTAAGAATTCACCATTTTTTTTGTAGGACCTTACATATAAGTCTCCTTTGCTGCACTTCCTTGTTCATTGCATAAACTGATAAAAGAAATTAACTTTCTCTTACATCAATGGATTCATAGCAAGTGGTTTCTCCAAAAGCTTGGTCATGAAGGTACTTAACTCAATTCTATTCAAAATGTGACCTTGATCTGAACAAGTATGTGCGAGGTATTATTCTATTTTTGTTTAAATATCAGTCACAATGCTTCCTTAAGACATCCGGAGGTGTTTTTTTTTGTTTCTTTGTTTTTTTTTTCAGGTGAATGAATTTGCTACATCTTTAGTTGGTTCCCCTCTAACCGAAGTTGTTGAAGGAGCTACCAATCTTCATGTAGACCATGGAGTTGGTGACCAATTCCTTTCAATGGCCATGAATGAAACGTCAGGGTCAGGGTTAGATTCCATGTTACTAAGTTTGAAGCATGGTCTGGAATTATTGGAGCCTTTGGTAGATGTGCCCGTTATTTGGTGTTTGTTGATTTGTTGATATGCTTATTGAAGAAAGACTTTGTGACGAACCCATTAATGAGTTTGTTCAGAGCTGTGATATTGTTGCCTTCAACAAGATCTGTAACTTCATTGTTTTAATCCAATCTTTTTTGTTTTCTTCCTGAAGTTATATGATTGATTATTTTGCTAATGTGACTGGTTTTATGATTGCAGAGTTCGATAATGCTGCTGTTGCAGTTTTGTTGTTTCGCTATTGATGTTTTGTACTGTTTTGCTATTACTTTTTTTGCTGTTTTGAGATTGTTTATGTTTAGTTGTTTTGTAGTTTGTTGTGGACATGTTAAATTCAATTTGTTGCAGTTTTGAGATCAAGTTTTTTTTAATTTTTTTAGTTTATATCTTGAATTCCTATTACTTATAAAAGTTAATTTCAATGGCATTCATAAAATAAAAAAAATATAATATTAAAAAAACCGGGTACCCGAAACTGGAATCGGTTGTGGCGGTTCCGGGTGTGGTTCCAAATTTCTAGGAATCGGTTTAAGCGGTTTCGGTTCCAATACCAATAATTTCATATATGCTGGTTTTGGGTGTTGTTCCGGTTCAGCTAAAATAAGCGGGTATCCGGTTATGCTCATCGCTAGTTTGGAAGACTGATATTTAGTCCCAGAATGAGAGTTTTAAAGAAAGATGTTCCAGACTAAACATGATAGCATCAAAAACTAATATTTAGTCTTTTAAATATAGTATCACAGACTAATATTACATAAAATAGAGATGTCAATGAAACATTAGAGACTGAATAATATACTATTAAGAGTTGATATTCAGTCCCTAAAAGATAATATCAAGGACTGATATGACGTCAAATTGAGGATTTGATGAAAAAAGTTAGAGACTGAATGAGATATTATCAGAGACTGATTTTCTGTCCTTGATAGTTTGATGTATTAGGGACTGATTTTCAGTCCTAGATACAAAAAAATCGATTATCTAAGACTAGGTCTCGGGGACTAGCTAAATCAGTCCCTGATTCTCATTAGAGACTGATTTTTGACCATCGGGGACTAATTCTATCAGTCTCTGAAACCTCTTTTTCTTGTAGTGAGTGTGGGTTCGGTGAGCATGTATTGTTTATGTTTTGTTATGTGTGGTATTTTAGGGGAACTCACTAAGTGTTGACTTACAGTTGTTGGTTTCATGTTTTTATGTACATCAGATGATCGAGGCAAGGCGAAGACGTGACCGTACACATCATCCTTTGGATTTATGTTGAGAGATGTTATTAAATACTCTGATTTTATGATTATGTTTTATAAACAATGTTTTGTATGACTTATGGTTTATGAAATATGGCTTTGGAAAAACAAAAAATTTAATCGTGGTTTTTGGGATGTGACAAGTTGGTATCATAGTCCTAGTTTGAGATAATTGGATGAACACTTGTGTGATTACAGACTTAAACTAAAGATCTGCAAAATAATTTTCAAAATTAACTCTAAAATGATCAACATAAAGGATGCGATGTGTACAATCAGTCAGAGCCAAGGAAAGTATTCCCCAAGATACCCACACTTGTGTTGTGTATTGATGATATGATATAATTGTATGCTAGTTGGTAGAATAGGGAACTTCAGGAATTGCCTGATTTATGATGCCTGATAGCCTAAGAGAATTCCTTGATATGTTATATGGAACTTACATTATTATTGTGGTTGCTTGGTGTGTGCATCATAGTTATACATAACTAAGATTTTATAGCATGAGAATGTTTGATTTAGCCTTATTTAGTGTTCCTTGTTTGGTTGTGGGATCATGGTAGAATAAACTATTCGACTGTTTATCAAATATAGTGTTATGTATGATTAGCGTATACAAGGCGACTATAGGGTTAGTGGAAGTTTCATGAGTGAGTGTGGCTTGTAGAAGGCCAACATAAGAAATTATTAGCCACTCTTGAGAGGGTGGGTATAGGATGTATGCATATGCTAGTAGTTTGGGCTTGGTTTCGAGTAATTGTCTAATTTTTACAATGTGACTTTTTGGGTCCGAATTGTTGATCATTCGTTATGATCTCGATTCAATTGTGTTTCCATGCAGCAACACATGAGTATGTCATTTCCAAGTCAATATGGATTGTTGGTGTTCTGTATACCCTTCTTGCAATACTCTATGCGTTTAAGAAGAAGGCTAACCTTCAAGAAGAAAATCATACTATCTATATAATGAAAATAATCACTCCAAAAAAAATCTGATTATCTCAAAGAATGCCCACTAAGCATTATTAAGGATTAATGATTTGCAAAAGAAGACCAAAATAACATGATAAAAGTAACAAAAACAAATATATCATTCTAATCTGGGCATGACTTTTATGTGATGAGATCATATTTAGAATATCTATAAATTTACTATATTTTAAGAGCATATATGTTATTTTATAATAAGTGCATTGTTGGTATGTTATTTACTAATTAATAATTATCTTACATTAATTTGTAAATGGTTGATAGATAATGAACTATTATATTACATCACATAAACAACTTAATAGGCAGTTTAATAATAATATAACTGAAAAGATGCATTCTATTGGTCATAGAATGATGTAAATTGGAAACACAATTGCTTCCACCACTCATTAAGTAGTGTATAAATTTTAAAAATGGTAAACAACTGATATAGGCATGAACTTAATCAACTAATCATAAAAACTCAAAATGCCTTAAATACTTACCGACATTTGAATAATTTTTTATAGATGATCTCATCAAAAGAGAGAAAAACTTGGTCATTGAACACTTCATGTTCCTCCACATGCCATTCTTGCTCATGTTGTAATCTTTTACATGTATTAAAACAATACAAACATACATGTAGTAATATGATATGCTCAAACATATCACGAGTATCACTATCGCCATCTCCGTTATATTCTAGTTCTGGGAACATACTAATGAGAAACCTGTAACGTCCCAAAAATAAGACCATAAAAGTTCATTTTAATTAAATAAGAAAGTGCTCCAAAAACCTTATTCATACAAGTTTAACAAAATAAGTGTATTAGTATTATTTCAAATCAGAGTATATTATAAAATGCGGAAACATGTGGTGCGTGCTCTGCAATCATCTGGAGCTCCCTTGTTTGAAAACCGCATGTAACACCCAGAATCAGATAGACCAAGAAAGGAAAGAAAAGCCCTAAGTCGAAAGAGTCAACTCGTCAAGCCCAAGGAAGAACTCGACGAGTCGGAGCGGGCTTCGTGTGGAATATTAAGTGACCGACTCGACGAGTCGGCTAGTGGACTCGGCGAGTCTGGTCTGTGTCGGGAAACCCTAATTCCGGGACGTGGTACCCTATTTAAGCATCACATTCTCTTCCCTAGGGTTCATTTGCGGCCCCTATAGTCCAGAACTCAAAACCCTAGCCTCCATAAGTGAGTTTGAGTGATTCCTTCTTGATTTTTGAGTGTTTTGGTGTATTCTTGGAAGTGTAGAAGGGAAGGAAAGAGAGAAGGTGCAAAGGAGAAGAAGCAGATCCAGAAGCTAGCTTCCATTTGCTACTACATCTGGTAATAAAGTCTCTACCTTGTTCATTTTCCTAGTAGATCTTCATATACGCTTGTTTTGCCACTTTTGGGACATTTCAAGGTCCAAACTCGAGATTGGAGCTCCCTTAGGGTAGTGAGCTATAGATATGGACATCATTGAGCCCCAGGAGCTCAAAGTAGCTACCTTTATGCAAAGCAAGGTCTTGTTCCAAACCCTAGGTTCCCATTTCTAGCTTATTTTGGTGTTTTAGCTTCATACCTCTATGCATGTACATAAAGTTGGCAACTTTACGTGTTATATCGGCCCTAGAAGCTCAGATCTATGAATTGGATGCACTGGAATCGATTAGAATCAACTGTTTAGTGAGGACATGCATAGGACTCGACGAGTTGTTCTTGGACTCGGCGAGTCGGAGCGCAAACTCCCGATTTCTTCGATTTTAGAGTTGTGAGCTGAATCAGCGAGTGGACGAGGACTCAGTGAGTTAGAACAAGGATCTGGAAGTAGAGGGACTCGGCTAGTCTACGTCCTGACTCGGCGAGTCGAGTCGCGAGTTAGAGAAGTGTGAGTTCGGGAACTCGACGAGTTCATAGTAGGACTCGGCGAGTAGAGTCAACCAGGAAGTTGACTTTGTACAGGAAGTTGACTTTGACCAGGAAATTGACTTTGACTAGGGGTAAAATAGTCATTTTACCCTGAAAACAGTTATCAGTATCTGATTTAGTGTTTATGGGATTGTAGCCGGGGAGTTCCGGAGCAGCAGTCAGCCAGTTTCAGATTTAGCATCTCAGTAGCCAGCGTTACGAGGTGAGTTTCCTTCCAGTAGGAACGGGTCTACGGCCACAATGCCGACCCGTTTAAGTTAGCAGTAGTTCCAGACTTCGGCCTGATGCAGTAGTCCAATGTGCTTGATGTCTTTGTGATTCAAGCATGTCTTCGTGTTATGTGTTCCGGACTTCGGTCTGATGCAGTATGCAGTATATGTGTTTATGTTAGTAGTTATTATTAGGCTATGCTATGTTCAGTCAGTTCTGGACTTCGGTCCGATGCAGAGGGCAAGGCCCTGGTTAGTTCCGGACTACGGTCTGATGTAGAGGGCAAGGCCCTGGTTAGTTCCGGACTACGGTCCGATGCAGTTTCCGGACTACGGTCTGATGCAGAGGGCAAGGCCCTGGTTAGTTCCGGACTTCGGTCCGATGCAGTGGGCAAGGCCCAGTAGTTGCTTTATATGTTATTGTATGGTATGTGGTAGTTTGGGGGAGCTCACTAAGCTTTGTGCTTACAGTTTCAGTTTTTGGTTTCAGGTACTTCCGCTAGTAAGGAGAAGAGCTCGGGATGATGGCATGGCACACACCACAGCTTCAGTTTATCCTGGGAATTTTATTCGGATATTTTGATATGTTTTGACATCAGTTGATTTGATAAATTTATTATGACATTTTGAGACGCATGATCCATGGATTTATCTTTTAATATTTGATATTATGGTTTAGTAAAGTTTTCAAACGAAAATTTTTGGGTTGTATTTTTTGGGATGTTACAAGTTGGTATCAGAGCCTTGGTTTGAGGGATTCAGGCACACTTTCGGGTATGACTGGACTCAAACTAAGGAAATGGTAAAAGATTTTCAAAATAAAAATGTTTTCGAAAGAATTTTTGAAAAAGAAACTTAAAAAGAAAAGAGTTTTGAGAAAAGGAAAAGGGTGTGGTGCATGCGATCAGCCGAGCTCAAGTAAGTACTCCCAAATTACCCATACAAGTTTATATTATGATTATCAGTTTCAGTTTCAGTAGAACAGCATGCTAGAATAGGACTAAGGATCCAGGAGGATGCCTTATGTGCCTGCTATATGTGTTTCAGCTTTATTAGAATTGCATGCTAGTATTGAGTAGACAGTAGTAGGATAGCCTGTTTAGGTTATGCCTGATAGTATGAGCTTAACATTGTATGCCAGTACAGTTTCTTGTTATGAGGATAGAATTGCTTGAGTAGTTTCATGTGTCTGAATGCTGCTTGCTTTGTGCTTTGTGGGACTCTGAGTGATGGGAGTTAGCCATTAGGTGAATACGTCACGTCACATGTGATCAGGATTGAATAATCTCAGAGTGCTGGATTTGGCCCTATTGCGCAGCTCTCGTTTGAGTCTAACCGTTGTAGGGACGAGTCTTTTACTCGAAGGATTATCTGAGCCTCGTCACAAGTGATGGTATTCAGGTGATGACTAATTGGCATTACAAGGAGGCCTTCAGCAGTTGAGGACTGGTTTGGGTAGAGTCAGAGATTTCCCTAGGGCAAGCCTAGGATGAGAGTAGCAGAGATCAGTAGCAGTAGAAGGGACTTGGTTGAGTTAAGGTAACTCTTGAGGAAAGTACGGATAGATGTGGAAGGTAGTATGGGCCCGTACTACTGAAAGCAGAGGATCTGTACTCGATTCAAGAGGGGCCAAGATGAAACCAGGGAAATTGTAGAGTGTGTGTGAGATCCCTCAGCAGCGATGAGTATTCTGACAGTTATTGTGATATGTTTTCAGCATGGTGACGTTGCGCGAGATACCAGTTGGCAGTTCAGGTGCCGGGGAGGGATCTGGCTCTGGCTCTGAAGCCGGGCAGCTTGATGGCCAGATGAGAGAGTTTATTTCAGCAGAAATTATGCGCAACATCATTGATCAGACTCCTGTGATCTTCGGTTCGGTCAAGGAGGCCGTTGTGGAGCTTTTGGATAGCCGCCTCGGGGCCTTTCTGTCCGAGATTGTAGCACAGCAGGTGGGGACTCATCTGGAGCCCGAAGCTTGTGGACCTCTGGGATCCTTCTGGAAGGAGGATCCTACCCCTAGCTTTTGTAGCTTGGGGTCAAAAGTGAATGGTGCACCATGTTTTCAGGGGAGTCAATTATAGGATTGGATTGCTGTAGAGGTTTTGCGGGTCCTCCGTGAAGAGTTATTAGACACCATTGGGCGAGTCACCGATAGAGTGGTCGCCGGGATTGAAAGGCGGAACTCAGTTATCCAGGCGATGGGTGAAATGGTCACTGTGACCCGGGAACAGGAGATTGGTTCAGATTGTCAGCTAAGGAAGAGGAAGCGGTCTTCCGATCTAGTTCGGCAAGATGGGCAGGTGGACACTGCCGTAGTTGGTGTCAGGGACCCGCAGGGTCGAGATGGTTGCACGAGGAAGGAGGGAGCACGGGATGACGTGCGTAGCAAGTCTAAGTGCGGCAGATGCGGATTGAAGGGTCATAGACGCCAAGAATGCACAATAGAAGTAGAGTTATGCCATCGTTGCCATCATCCTGGTCATGTCAGGGCAAATTGCCCCGCTCAGCGGATGGGGCAGCCTCAGTATCATCGCAGGCCTCGGAAGGAAGGAGGATTCGGGGGTTCTTTAGAGCAGGTTGCGGGTATGAATCTTCCTCTCTCTATCAGCTTATGTTATGATTTTATTTTTATGTGCGACAACCGTTAAATTCTGGTCAAGTCAAAGTCAAATAAAGTCAACAAGTCAAACCGGTCAACTCTACTAACTCTTGTATACTAGGGTTCACTTTATGTAATTACTGTACAACTCACTATTTTAATAAGAAATCATCACTTGAAAAGTTGTATTTTTAGATTTCTTGAACCCTAATCGGAGTAAGTGAGGTAACAAAGCGATAAAACACTATTACATACCCTTCGGAGGTGTGTAAGACTCTTAAACATGGCTAAACGGGGTTTGCGGACCTTGCGTTTCAAAGCCAAACACTCAAAAAGGTCACAAAAGAAATCTCTCCCAAATCTCTCTCAAAATCTCTCTCAACTTCTTATAATCACTCGGGGCATCCCGACCCTCGATTTAGTCGAAAACCGCTCGAAAACGGAAGTCTACGCGAAAAACGGCCTTAAGGAGCTGAAACCTCTTAAGGAACCGAAACCTCTTATGGAGCCGAAACCTCTTATGGAGCCGAACCCTTCTTAGTGTTGGATTAATGTCTAAGTCCATAACTATAATTGGTAAGACTTGACCCGACCCGGCATGGTCTATTTGGGTTGCATGGCATCATGCATTTGGTTATACTATAATGAGAGAAATAACACTTAAGGTTGGTTAATATATTATAAGTTCTAATATATTAATAAGGTTATTTAATTAGTATTGATCAAGAATTAATTTGGAACTAATTAAGTGATCAAAAGGAGACTAATTAAATATATGGGTTGATTGTGTAAATCATTCATTCTTATATATGTGGGCTTGTGATCCAAGATTTCTTATGTTGGACTAAGTCCATGGGGTGACCCATGGATACTCCATGGAGGTTAAAATCCATGGAGCATAAGGAATGGGTAAAGTTATGAGTTACATGGTGTAACCCTAATAGCCACCATATAAAAGAATCTCATGGCTAAAGAAATCGTGCACTAATGTGTGAATATGAGGGCTAGACGATTTTAAGGAGTGTTCCATTTCTCTCAAGTCATTCCATGTGCATTTGGTGTTGTGTGAACCATTTGAGGTGTCACACTTGGGGCACTAGGCACTACGCTTCATGGAGACAAGCTACATCAAACAAGGTATGTATTCTATCCATTTGATTACCCAAGTATCAGTATTGTATGCTAGATAGGGTAATACCTTGGAAAGTTTCATAATTGCTTGTATAATAGAGAAAACATAGATCCAAGGTATTTAGGGTTGCATGTACACTTAGGAGTGTTAGAATGCGCAAAACCCATCAGTGGTATCAGAGCCAGGCTTGTTTTCTTGTTATACTTGCAAAATTAGCTGAAAAATCGAATTGTATTAGTTTAAAAGTTATGCTAATTACTTGAAAAAAAATTTGATGTGAATTATCTTTGTTCATATGAGTTTATTAGATTAATAGAAAAGTTAATTGATTATGTGTTTTCAATCCATTTTATCTAAGAGTTGATTCTAAATGTGTTTTTGTAACTTGTCCTCAAGTTATATGAAAAGTCACATTTAAGTTTCATAAAACTCATAAAAAGTTGGCAATGGTTACAAAAATGAAGAGTCTTGTCCTCATTAAATGGTTTTATGACTCCATAACTTGTCCTCAAGTTATGGAGGTTCAAGAGTCACTTCATTAAATGATAAAATGTGTAACCTTAATTCGTTCCAAAGTACAAAAATAAAGAAAAGTTACATTCTTTATTAGTTTAAAGTCTTCCATAACTTGTCCTCAAGTTATGGAACTTGAAGAGTTTTTTTTTTTTTTTTTTTTTTTTTTTTTTTTTTTTTTTTTTAATTAAAACTACTTTAAACACATAAGTTATGGAATTAATTAGTTTTGAATATTTTCAAAACTTGCCATCAAGTTTGGAATTTGTAAAGTTTTTCCCCATGAATACTTTAATTCCAAGTTAGCCCTTAGAATTTTAAAAGTTAAAATTCAACCCTTATACTTATTTAGTATTATAAGTTAATAATAAATATATGTATAAGAGCAAGTCAGTCTTACCGTTAGTAGGCCTCATTCACGAAGCCGGTCTATAAGGGGGGTATAAGGTTACTGCCTATAAAATGGCAGTTTAATGGGTGTCCACTCTCACCCACCGCTTCCTTGACTGGTGGAGGTCGTTAGCCGAACGGGTAGGACAAGGACTATAATTCTCCTTTCATTAAAGTAATGATAAATACTATTAATAGATAAATCTTAAGTAACTAAACTCTTATTAACCCAATCTTAGTTACTTAGGAAAATGTGAATTTGGTGCTAACCATGATGAAATTACACTTTGCAATTTGCTTTTAAGTCCGTTAGTGGAGCGTGTGTGGTTAACCACACACTAACCTGGTACACTTAACAAGGTAGGCAAAGGGTAACTTAATATTTATCATAGTATCGGTGGAGCGTTGTGTGTTGTTAACCGGGCACACTGATTAAGGGGTAAATATTAAGGGTACCAAGTATAATTTGCATGGTTATTCACACCTTTTTGTGATCCTCGGCATCCCAGTCACAAAACCTGAAGGGCACACTCGAGATTGAAACATGCCTTTGAACAGTTCAATGAATCTCAAAGATCTAGGACTTTCAAATCCAATAAAACCTAATAAATTATTTCGTTTTTCATGGTGGAAATTGGTAAATCGTCATTTACCTACCTTCAAACTATTTTATAACTCGGATTACGGCATCCCTCTTCCAGTTATAAATAGGTTGTTGGATCCTAGCCTTAATATTTCATATTGGGTGTCAATATTAAGGACTTTAAATCAACTATCTTGAATATCTCCCAAAAAGATGTCTGGTCTAGGACATTTATGATCTTCCCAAATCTCTTGAAACAAGCTTTCCTAAATGAAGATGATGTCCC